CCGCATTGATGCCTCGGCGACTTGTTCAAAGCTGTTGACTATGGGCTCTATTTATACTAGGGCTGGCGAATATTTTTAAAATATCGTATAGATGATATTATAAGTTTTGAAAAGAATATCAATGTGATATTTTGTAAGCTACTTTATAAATATCGATATATCAATATTTAAACTTTTTTTTTTGTCCCAAAAACAAGAATAAGTATTTTCTATTTAAATGAAAAAGACCGCTTAGCTCCATTATTCAGTACTCAAAAGCAACATAGTGCTTGTTATACCCCGAACCCATTGAAAATGGATAATCAGTGTATATTGGTTTTGTGAAAAGTATGTAACAAGCAGAAGGATTCATCGCAGACCCCATAAAGTATATATATTCTTGAGCAGGACGAGCTGAGTCGATATAGCCCTGTCCATCCGTCTGTATGAGCAAGCTGAACTCAGAAGATGTAAGAGCTAGAGAGCTGAAATTTTGCATGCATACTCGTGTATACTATACGCAGTACAAGTTTATCTTATTTTTTCGATAACTCATTTTTTATCGAGAATAATCGATAACTTGATTTCGTTTTTTTCAGCTTAATTTGAATACTTTTAGACCTGGAGACTTCAGATTTTCTGTGTATATACATTTGCTGAATACAAAGATTTTGTAATGTACAGATTTTTGGATACCACGCCCCCTTCGCCCCCTAGAGACTTGTGCTTTGAAAGCACAGTCGCTGCTTATTGTGCAGTTAGCATAATGCGGGCTCATGCATTGGGTGCATAAAAGAAGTGCAAAATGATTCGAATATCAGCTTGGAGTGTTCAGGGTATATCCTAGTCGAGCAGTCTTGGCTAGAGCCTTCTTACTTGTTTTCCATATGCAACGCCATATTTAATGTGCTAGGACTTGTTTTCATTACTTTAAGGCGCAAATTATTTTAGGATGCTCCATTATTGAAGTCAGAATAATACGTTTTCACCATACTCAATTTTTGTACATTCATAATTGGTTCACTTAATACAGAAGTCACGAATGCAAATATATAAAAAAAATCGTTAAGATATTCGACATTTGGGCAAAAAAAAAAAAAAAAAAAATTCCAATATGAATAAATTTGTTTTTTAAATATATCGATATATTGATATNACCTAAATGGAGTATTTCGCTTTACTGAACTTGAGTTAATGCAAATCACTCTAGCTGTGTCACTCTAGCTGAACTCACTGCTTGGTTTGGTGGGTGCCAAAGCCAAGTTGGAATGAAAGCAGACGTTTTTATGAGCTGAGCCAAAGGTAATGCTCGTGTTGTTAATGTGTTGCAAGTTGCCAGTTGTTGCTGTTGCAAGTTGCTGGCGAGACGAGCACAAAATTGTCAGAGGCCACACGTAGCGCAAACGTGTTGAAAATTCTACGTGTAGGAGTACATGTGCGTATGTGTGTGCGTGTGTGTGTGTGTGTGTGTGGGTTATTAGGGCAATGTTGTGGCAGGCAGCGGCGGGCCGTGAGCCGTGAGCGGGTTGTGCACGTGCGATTATCGCGCTGGCAATAAAATGATTTTCAATTGAATTTTTGCGCAGTTGCCGGACGACAACAGCTGAATTTATGATGAACTTTAATATACGAAAAATAACGCTAAATTTATATAAACTTTGTTCTTCATTGTTGCTGCTGTTGTTGTTGTTGTTGTTGTTGTTGTTGTTGTTCATCTTGGCACACAAATGTTGAAGATTTCTTTGCTGTTGTTGTTGTTGTTGCCTTGGCACCTTGTGCGTGTGCATAAAAATCAAGATTTTGTACGCGACGTTGACTTCATTTGGTTAGCATAAAAAACGCGTAAAAAGGAAGAGAAAAGGAAAGCAAAATGTGGACGGCATAATGCTAGCGCGGGTGGAGGGTGCAGGGTGGCGCGGGTAGCAGGTCGGTGCTGTGCTGGGAGGTGATTTTTCTTGTTGCTTTCGCTTCTTCGTCTTCTTTTCTTTTTTTTTTTTGGTCAGCGCCCCAAAAAGTATGCAACATAAAGTTAAAATCTTAAAAGGCGCCCCATATTGTATGCACAATACAAACACAACACACACACATACACACGCACACGCACACACCGTCACACAGTCGAGCTGAATGCGGCAAAGGAAATGAAGAAAAACTTGATTTATTTTTATGTGCTCAACGAGCCAAGGAGCGCAGGGGGCTTCGTTTTTGGGAGGCGTGGCTGAGCCTGGCAGGTGGCCATTCATACAAGTGGTACGTGCGTAATGACCAGACACACACACAAACACACCCTCATACACGCACTTTGGCGCACTTGAATGTTGAGAAGTTTTCGCATTGCGTATACGCAATCTTATTCTTGGCTCGTTGTCTTTGACTCTATCTCGCTCTTTGTCTCCCTCACACACACTCTCTCTCTCTCTCTCTCTTTGTGTTTCTCTTTTTATATGACTTTCTTCTTTTTCTGTCTGTTCGTGTCGGTTGTTGTATTTGTTATACAGCTCACACCCACATTATGACTCTGTCCTACTCTTTTCCTTCTTCTTTTCCACTTCTCTGTGTTTTACTCATTATCACAGCCCTCTATTCGTTATACAGTCCCCCTATTTCTCAGAACTGTTCTGTTTTTATCTTTATTTCTCTCTCAAGCGTCTGCTCCCTTTCTTTCTATTTCCCTGGCTCTATTTATATTTCTCGATCACCCTTTTCCACTCTCTTATCCTCCGTCTTCTCTTTCTCCCACTCTACTGTTTTCATCTTTTTATATCTATCTCGCAACTTTTATTCTGTACTTCTCCTTATTCTCTCTCAATATCTTACTTAATATCACTCAATATCTCACTCTAGCATTCTCACTCTATCGCTCCTAATCTCTCTCTCTCTTAATATGTCATGCACTCTCTTCTCTCTCTCTCTTTTTCTCTCCCTCTCTCTCTCTTTCTCTCTCTCTCTCTCTCTCTCTCTCTCCATCCTCACGCCCCCTCACTCCTTCTCTTTCGCTTTTCCTTGTTACGTTCTCTCTTTTTCAGTCCATATATCATTATACTCCACATATTTTACAATTTCTCTCTCTCTCTGTCTCTCCCGCCCTCTCGCTCTATCCCTCGCTGTCTCATTTGTTTTTACAATCTTGTGGCATCCGCTCTTACTTTATCCCCTGGCTTCTCACTTTGTGTACGTGGACAAGTGGCCCACGGGCAAGGCGAACAATGCGAACGTTGAACTTGAAAGCGATTGGCAAACGTAATTGATATATCAAGAGCGTAAGGGCAGCGGCATCAAAAGGCAATAAACGAATATACGAAATATTGCAAATAATTACTTAAGAAATAAGTTTGGAGCAAGCGAAAGTACTCGATCTTTGCTCTCGGCCAGTTGGATACTCAGTAGTTATATCACTATCTCAAACTACTTTGATAAATATATTTACAAGTCAGACAGACTATCGATATTTATCGATATCATACGTATGTGACATATATTCTGTTTACTACTTCAACCGAATTTTAAACAAATAGCATGGCCATAGCATATTAATCGATATACAACAATCGATAACATCAGCAGCAATAACATGCAAGAAAAGATGCACCGATACATATGCCATATATCGATATAAACGATACAAACTCTTATTGTCCCATACACTTCCTTCACAGCGATATACCCGCTCTCAAACTTATTTTTCTCGCAATTCGATTTATCGAAATGCTTCGGGCGTTGGAATTTAAATTTCTTGAATTTAAAGCCAAACTGAATTGCATAGCAATTGAGCAGCAATTCAAATTAGCAAAGCGATTCGAATATGGCAAATAGTTGTAAAACACTTTGAGCCAACATTTGCTTTTGATTTGGCCAAATATGTAAACAATTATGCAATTGAGCTTAATTGCTTAACGTTTGAGAGCTTATGAACGATTGAATGATCTAAATTAAACTAAGTGCATTCCAAAAATGCTCAAGTATCGATAAGCCTTACACTTCGTTAGTTTTTTAGTGAAATATGTTTAGTTTATGTGAAAGTAAGCTAAGATATGGGAAAAAGTTGGCAGAGATTAGGTTAGGTTTAATGGGAGCAAAAGGTTGGATTTCAAATGATAATTGGAGGTGCAAATGAAATTGAAGTTTGTTTTCTTTGCTTATATTAGATTAGGTGAAAATTAATTTTCACCTAGGTTAGGTTAGATAAATTTTAATTCAATAAGGTTATATTTCACTCAGCTAGAAAAATATTATGTGTGATAAAGTTTTGCTTGAGATAAACCTAGATAAGATAATGTTGGGCCCTAGTCTGCAGAAATTAGCTTAGATACAGATAGATGAGTTCAGACTTCGAATAAGTGAAGCGGGTTTATTTGAAGATAGGTAATGAGAATATTTGAGTTGTTTCTTAAACAAGTTTAATTCCTTTTGTGCTACACTGAGAGAAAATTGCAATAGAAAAAACAAGAAAACACGAGGTGAATGCAAAATTGATTGCCCCAACTCTGAGAAATGGCAGAAGGAAACACCACAGACAGCAGAAATGTGACGAAAGGAGTACAAGGATGTGGCGAATGCCCCGCAGCATAATAATAATATAAAATAAAAAATATATGAAAATCAAGTAAAATCATTTCCATTCAAATTCAAATGGCATGCCAAGAGGGCGCCAGGTGACAAGGGGGCGTGTCGCCAGCTGGAAAAGCTGGGAAAAAAAGGAAGAAAACGTAGAAAACGAGGAAAACTGAAAGCTGAAAACTGATATTCAATTCAATCAGTTCTAACCCACCTCAAGGGAGCAAGGAAGACAGGGAAAGAGAGTGAGAGAGCGAGAGAGAAAGGAAGGTGGAAGCCAACGGGCAACAATGCCCAGCTGTGAATGCCACTGCTGGGGGCGGTGTGTAGGAGAGGGGGTCGATTTGGGGCGCTGAATGGATTGTCAGACTTTTTGATTTTGTGGTCGCCGTCGTCGTCGACGTCTTTCGCTCTGTTGTTTCTGTGCGCTGGACGGGTGTTGAGTACTTCACGACTCGGAGGCAACAACATACATATATGTATCTCTTGGTTGATATTAAGTCAGCCCCAAAGCCCAACCCCAACCCCAGCCCCAACTCGACGCCCTAGCCACTCCGCGCATGGCCCTAACGCCCCGCCAACATTGAAAACATTTCACTTTGCCAACTCGGGGGCAACTTTACAATAAATTTCAGCAAATAAATCAAAATGTAACAGAAGCCGAGCGAAATTTTCAAGCGCCAGGTGCCGCTCCATAAAAAAATAACCCAACTGTAGGCGAACAGCATGAGGCACTCAAACATACCGCGTGAAGGCCACAGGTGAATTTGGTTAAGCTAATAGCTATATCCAGATTGTTAATAGCTTTATCCAGATCACATCCATATCAACATATTTTTCTATATGCATATGGTGATAAATACGGATATGGATTTAAATATGCATATTTCCATATCCATATCCATATCCATATTAATATCCATATCCATATCCGTATCTAGATCCATTTCCATATCCATATCAATATTCATACCATATTCATATAAGGATCCCTATCATTATTAATGTCTCAATCGTAGCTTCATATTTATACTTGCTTTTATTATTATACTTAGCATCAATTTTATTCCCTGCCATATCCCTTAAGTTATACTTGTTATTGTATACCCCTATATCAATCATTATCCGTGTTTTTGACTATTTATTTAATCATATTCCTAATCCCATCCCTATCCTTATCCGTATAGCTATATTATCCGTATTTCTATTATCTTTTATACTATGCTCAATTGCTGATCTGTTCTTTTATTCGTAGTCCTAGCCCTAGCCCAATATTTTAATTTAATCTCTCTATTTTATTTTAATCTCTGCCTACTCATAAAAGCGGTCAAGCGTAGTATAGCGACCAGCATCTAAAGTCCCACTCCTAGACTATTTAACAGGGTATAAGAAAGGCAGAAGCTGAGACACCATTGAAGCTGGAAGGCGTGGCCGCCCGACACCGAGCAAACAAAACGATCCGAACACAACAACAACAGAAAAACGAGGAATAATAAAAAACAGAACAGAAAAGTTTTTGATTTTTGTGAAAAATGTTGTTCGTTTTTCGTTTTTGTTTTCGTTGTGTGAAAAATGAAAATGTGCTGGCAATGCCAATGTGAACAGGGGGTAGCTAAGTAGGGAACGGCGGGTATGAGGGGGTAGGCGAAACGGGAGGTGGCATCCAGGTTCACAATGAATGAAATGTGATGGCTTCGTCGGGCAGTCAGTTGTGGGCGTGGTCGAGCTCTGCCCATGAAGTTTGCTTGCCCGCCAGCTGGCTACAGATGCTGTCGGAGGGGCGGGGAGGGGCGAGGAAAAGCAGACCGGAAGGTTGAGCTAAGCGATGAGGCAACGGGGAGGTGTATTTGGGGCTCCTCAGAGCCCATTTTTGGGGCCACACTAATTGACTTTTTATGCGCTGTTTCTCTCTAGCCAGGCCAGCCCAGGCCAGCCCAGACCAGGACTTCGCTAGCTGCCACCCATGCCACACTGTGATCTCTGTTGGCCAATGGCTAAAAATGAACTTGGCCCGCAAAAATGTTGGCAAAACTTCGGCTTTAAGTAAAACGCACAACAAATGCCGCCTCGAAATGTTTGAAATGCTCCCCAGAGCAGGCCAAACTTTAGATGGGGGGGGACAGGGGACGGGGGACGGGTAGGTGGTGCGCCCGCCACTTTAACTGGGGTTGAGCGTGGGGCATGCTGCGACGAGTGTGGACAATTACCTTGATGACAATTTAATTAGATACAGCGAGTACACAATGGCAATCATATTAGATGAAGTTCTCTTCGCATTAGCGCGAAGAAGACGAAGAAAGCCAACTGTGAGCTCTTAATTACAAGAGCAAGAGCTAGTAAATGGGGCTAGGAAATGGGGCTAAAGCAATAAGTATATAAGAAGATGCTTAAAACTAAGCCATAGAAAATCTGACGATACTAAGTTAAGATCTAAATATTATCTACATAAATGCATCTCTATTATCTATATAAATATTATCCATAGCTTATTTTATATGGTCACCCTTTATATACCCGAATATGAGCATCACAAATGAATAAAAACTTATGACTGAGTCAAGGTTCCCATTTAAATATCATCAAAAATAGCCATCAACAGAAACTGAATCTCATCTCAACTTTTTCTCTCACTTTAATTCACAAGTTTTAGCAGCGACGGCTAGAATTGATTTTTAGCTAGATTTGCTGAACTATTAGCATACATATTTCTCTTCTCTATGGAGTCATTTGATACAATAAAAGTTAATAAAGATGGTAATACTGAGACTGAAAGATGTAGAACCTAGAAGTATTTATTGAGCAATTTGAATTGATAGCATCGATCCGAGATAGGTAAAAGCTATGGATAATTTGTAATAGGAGGAGCTAATTCAAAATATTCAAGTCTCTGGCTGGCAGATCGGAGGATTGCTAGAGGGGAAAAACCGGCGGAAGGATAACCTAAAACACAGACGGAAGAACAGCTAATAAATGGACGAATAGATAGAAGAATGGATAAACGAAATGAACGAACGGATGGAAGGATCCATAGGTGGAGCGACGGATATATAGGTGGACAGACAAGCGAGCGGATGGATCGCCAGACAGACAGAGGAACGGACATACGAACAGAAACATAAACGTAACAACTCTAGTTGATTCTTTTTAAAATATGTATATACTATAGGTAAACTACGAGCATTCTTCTGACCATAGCACACGTATTAAGAAAACCAATATGTAGCCCATTAACCCCATTTCATTGGGTAAAAGGCACAAACAATACCTAGCAAAGGTCAATTAAGATACTTTTTATGATTTTTATTAGAGCTTGTTTTATAGCCGTCTTAAATAACGTGTTACGCATAAGAAATGATGACTACATATAGTGGATATATAAAATTGTTTATATATAGCTCTGAAAAAATCAAAGAAAGTAGTATATATGCCGCCAATGACATCATTTTATCTCTCCGTCTGCTAGTCTGTCTATCTGTAGCAGATACTCTCTAAGCTGTGGTATCGTATATTATTGTTTGACGAACTCTTTCGTTTAGTACTGTCTCTAACTATGCCGCTTTCTTTTCAAGATATCTTCACTGATTGTCATTATATAGATTATGGCTAAGCCCTGGACGTATATCTATAGTGCTCTGCTTTTGCAAATAGCTCTAGTGCTGTCATACCCTAAACACATTGAAAATGGGAGCTCGAGCCTGACAGACGCTCGTCGGTGTCTTTCTGTCTCTCTCTCTCTCTCTCTTTCTCTCTCCATCTATCTATCTATCACGCTCTCTCTATCAATCTACATATTTATCTATCATCGATTTATCTATCTATATCTGTCTCTATTCTCACTCTCAGTCTCTCTCTCTCTCTCTCTCTCCATCCATTCGTCTGTCTAACCGTCTGTCTGTTTGTCCCTGCTCATAATTGTATTAATCTCGTTATTTCTTATTAGATATTAGATTTTGGTTTTTGGATATTAGATATTATATATTGGATATACGATTGTAGCTATTGGATATTAAATATGTATAGTTTGACAAATGATATTTAATGATGATACCCGATTATTAAACTATAAGAACCATAGCACAGCTCGCTCTACTCACAGAGTAAGCAGAATTACCATATCTAACCCCATCAATTTTCAAGCAAGGAATTTCTCTCAAGAGGTGTGTCAAATCCCGAAAGACAAACATTGTTTGATATATATTAGAAGAGCTCTCCACTCATATTCAAAATTAGTCAAAGTTCATTCGAAATATGGGAAGCCTAATTGGAGAGAGCTCAAGTTGAAGGGAATGGAAGATAATTCATAATGGCTATATCAATAAAAAGTGGGGAAAGTTTGAAGAGCTTAATGCTGAAGCACTTGAGGGCACGACGGGGCAGATGGGTATGCCTGGCTGTGATGTATGGGCGGGGGGTAAGCCTTGACTCGGCTCGCCCACCTGTCCAATTGCCAATTTTCAACCATTCAGAGGCGTGGCAGTGCAAATGAAGTTAAAGCGCGCAAAGGCGAGGGCCGATGGGTTGCGGGAGGGTGGACTAGGGAGGGGGAGGGGGGCTGACTGGCACAGCGTGCGTCCAGCAAGCAGCTCCACTGACAGGCGGTGCGCAGCATGTGGTATGTGGCATGTGGCATGCGGCATGCGGCCAGCATCCACGGCTCACCTTCAGCCCCAGCCCGCCCGTCGCTCGCCTTCTCCTTCAGCCTGCCTCGGCCACCCTCTGGCCTTGTGCAACAGCCTCATTATAAATAGCGGCGACTGTTGCACAGCAGCGACGCCGACAGCGACGCCAACGCCGACGCTCTGGCTACCTGTTGGAAATGCAAACATGCGGCTTTGCCGTCAGCAGCGACGATGGCAGCGACGCCAAAGCGCACGCGCTGGAACCGACTCTCCACACGCAACAAAACGTTTCGTGCCGTTGCATGGCGTCTCAGCTCCTCTCGTCGACGCCCCCTCAAACTCCACGCACGCCCCGCCCCTGGCCGGCCGCGGCGCCCCCACTCTCTGGTCACTTCCAGGCTGAAACGTCGCGACACTTGGCGCAATTTTTGAATATTCTGGAAGCCGTTAGATGCAGTTGATGCTACGAAATAAACTTTCGCAAACAACTTTTCGCCTGAAGAATATTTAAACTCTTAACATGAATTAGCAAAAAGTTTAGACGAAACCCAAACGAAAATAATGCGGATAACTTATTTAGAGTGATTTATTTAGTTTGCATCAAATAAAAGTTTGCCTTTGTAGAGTTTCATAGGCACGCCTCCAGGCTCCTAACAGAACCATGAAAATACTTGCCTAACTAAATCATACAACCATAGAAACTATCAATCAAGTAACCATTTACTTATCCAGACAAAAACAGCTGGATAATCACAGGGAAGCCGCTAATCAGAGCGTGCAATGATGTTTACCAGAATGTATTTGAAACTAATTACTCTCTGTAATACCGGATAAAACTATTCGTATATTGATTGCATGCGGCATAATAAATAGCAGTAGATATCCAGTCGGATAATAGTTGGATAACATATTTCGGATGTATAATCGTATATTAACAGTAGAATATTGCTAATTGGATAATGTCAGTTGGATAACGCCAGTCGGATAATGACAGTCTCATAAAACCAGCCTAGCTTAACGCACACAGGGTAAAACTTCTCGGATAGCAATGACAAAATATAGTTATGTAGAACGGCAGAACATTATCATTATCATTGCGCAACAAGACTCGGATAATACTTGATAAGTATTATCCGATTATGATATTGAGCCAGTCAAATAATATCCCTGTAATGGAATTGCATACAGCTATCTGGATAATACAGACAAGCCGCCCACTAAACTTGGTAGTCAAACACAGAGTAACAGTCGGTAGTATAATGATTGCTGGATAATATGAAGAGAGATAAACTTTTTTAATAATACCAGTGTAATAATACTAGTTGCATGATGACAACTGGACAGAGACGAGTTTGATAATAACTACCAAGTATTAAGAGCCAGATATAATTATTTGGATAGCAATTGTCTGATAATTTCAATTAGATAATAGATTTATTGCCCCATGGCAAAGTCGATGTTTATAGAGCATTTCATTTATTGAGGTATATATGATATAATATAATAATGAAAAATAATAATAATAATAATATTTTTGGTACATTTGACTTTCTCTCAGCGCAGCTGTAGGATGAGAGCCAGGAGCAGGAGGCAAAAGGAAGAGGTGGACTCAATGGCAACAGACGAGCTGCGAGCATTGAGCACAATCGGCTGCAGATGGTCCAGATTGTGCGTGGTGGGCACTTGGCTGTAGTAGTTGGCCCAAATGCCAAAGGTGAGGAGATCGTTCTTTGGCTGCAGCAGCTCCAGCTGCACCTGGGTCTCGGATAGCAGCTGCGCCGACGGCATTTCGGTCCAATTGAACTGCAACACGGGCAGCGGCCTCATCGAGCCATCCAAGGTGCTGGGCATGATTAGGCGACGCCGAGCAGCCGGAAAAACAGCCTCGATGCGAATGTGCTCGAAGTAGTAGCGATTGGCCACTTCGATGTGGTCGGGAAAGATGCGTCCGCAGCTGGCGAGCTCCTCGTCTAGGCAGGCAAAGACGGCGCAGACCGCCTGCTCGCTGCGATCCACCAGTATGAAGGTCGTCTCGTTGCTGAAGTAGGCGGCCAGGCGGTAGCGATAGGCGGCGTACTCCGCGGCGCTTGGGATGGGACGACGCTCCACCTGGAAGTTGCAGCAGAAGCTGCCGTGGCATAGCCGCTGCGACTCATTCACAAAGTCCGCCGGCAGCAGAGCAGTGCGAAAGACATCCAAGTTGTAATCCCTGTAGGTGAGCAGCCCGGTGTGCCGAGCTGTGGTGGATTGTGGTTGAAATGCGGGCAACACTTCCGGATCGGCGACGCCACCCAGGGAGCGCTTCGGCAGACGCGCCTTGAGCAGCTGCACCGTCGGCTGCTGGTAGATGGCGGCGACCTGGCGACCCGAGCGACCGGCATAGATGCCGGAGCCAGTTGTCCGCTTGCCGGGATTGCTGCCGTCGGCGGCCAGGAGGTTCACGTTGTTGGCAAATGCCCAGCCCTCCTGCAGCTGGAGTGCGCTCAAGAACGGCAGCTCCGAGAACCAGTATGTCGGATAGATAATGTCCGTGATATTCTGCTCAAATATCAGCCGCATGGCCGGCTCATAGAACAACATATCGAAGCAGATGAAGTGGCCAAAGGTCACACCAAAGTCCGTCTCGAACGTGATTAGGTCGGGCTGTCGCATCACCGCCATCGAGTAGTATTCGCGTCTCCACAGATGGGTCTTCCTATAGCGCGAAATGACGCGTCCTCGTCGATCCAGGACAACGTTCGTATTGAATAGACGTACGCCTGAGGCGGGGCACGGATTCAACGCATCCGAGCCGTAGTCCTTGCCGCACAGCTCTTTCTCCACCACATTGATGACGACGTAGATGTTGCGGGCGCGAGTCGCGCAGGAGATTTCGACAAAGAACAGCTCGTAGTCGGGCGAAAAGCACGGCGTTATCTTCTCTTCCGGATCCGGCACAAATGTCGCATAGTCGCCATTGTTCAGCACATGTTCGGGAAAGACGAGAATGTCCAGATCCGAGGCATCATTCGACTCGATCAGCGTCACGAACCCAGCCGTTGCCTTTGTCACCCTCTCCTTGCTCGTGCCTGTCTCATCCGCATACTCGACAACTCCAGCACTATAATAACTGTTGTCCGTGGCCAGCGAGAGCCGCAAAGGCAGGCACATGGCCAAGCAGAATAATCGTACTCCATGCGAGTACATCTTAAGGCAGTGGCCCAGCTAAGACTGAAACTCTTCCCCAACCCATAGCCAAAACGATGGATAGTATTATATTATACGTTTCTTTCAACAACGAAAAATTGCTCGCTTTTATGTGATGTCATTGACATTATGTTATCTACTGACTTGTAAAAAATTATGGCTAGCCAATATGAACTTCAAGCTTTCACTTGATTTTTATACCCCAAGCCTTTTTATACTTCTTCCCAGGCAGAAGGGAGCTTGGCAGACCCCATAAAATATATAAATTTTTGATCAGGGCGACGAGCTGAGTCGATTTGGACCTGTCCGTATGTGTGAGCGCGTCGATTTCAGAAGATATAAGAGTTTGAGACTTCATATATTTTTATTTTCAATGTTCGTATATATAGCGCGCAAATCGACTTTATCTCCAAAATCGAAACCTCATCTTGTTATTTTGTTATCGATTAAAAACTTCTCGAAAATTAGTTATAAAATTATATCTCCCACATCTTTAAAGTTAGCGTCTCAAAATTTTAAAAATATATTTAGATGCGTTTTATACAATTTCGATTTTTGTTAAAATTTGTTAATTACTCTGGTTATTAAATGAGTAAAGCAAAAAATATATACAGCAGAGGAGAAAGTGAATAAGAACTTGTTGAATATATTTGGCCGTTATATTTTATTTGAATAAAGCATTTATACTTAAGAGCTAGAATGTGTATACGTTAATAAATATTATTTTTATTGTTAGTATTATTATCTCCTTATTTCAATTCATTAAATAAGTTGTTTGTATATTTTAGTTACTTTATTAATATTATTTAGCTGTTAAATTTGAAATTCAAACAAAATACTAGCTGGCAGTGCCGCATTCTGTGGTATTTTTTAGTAACACCATAAAACCTCGTCAGCTGCAGCTGCACATGCAGCGTGCACGTGTTTTTTTACATCTGGCAATGCTGAGCTTGGTATTTTTTAGCCACACCTTGGTCGCTGGGCGATAACACAATTTTAAAAATTCCTATCGATCCAACGATAGCTGCGCGTTTATTTCAGCTGTTCAACAACCAAAACAAAAATAATACCTACAAGCACATTGGGATTAGCATTAACTGTGGCAACGGTCAAAATAAACGCGTAGCGCAAAAAAGTAATGTTCAGAAATTAAGAAGAGCAAGTAAATAAGGAGCACGCTAGAGCAACAAATTGGCAACACATGCAAACGTATTAATTGTGAAGGTCATTCCATGCAAATGCAGTGACCAAGACAGAGCGAGTGCGAAAACGAGAGAACGGCACAGCAACTAAACAGGAAAGAGAGATAGAGAGAGAGAGAGAGAGAAGAACAATACAACTAACTCCAGGTTTGTAATCTGAGCACACGTGCGTGTGTGTGCCAATTGTTTGCCTATTAACTCAAAAATTTTTACATTTAAACAAAAAACAAAACGCGGCATGACACAACAGAATTGATAGGCTGTCAAGTTACCAACAACTTCAACTAAATAATCGGTGAGTAGCTGCCCTCCTCGGCGTATGTGTGTCTTTCTAGATCAAGCTCGTCTTATCAGCGACATGCCGCCAAACAATAGTTAATGCCGGCAACTGCTGATAAGATTCAGAACAAAGCAGCTCATCAGTAGACAACAGTTCTTTAAGCAATCAACTCACTAAACTCTACCCTCTTAATTGTTCTCTCACTCTTTCGCTCTTACAGCATCCACCATGGCGCTAAATATGAAGGCTCTGCTGGCCATGATCCTGGTCTTCGTGGGCTGCTGCAGCAACGTCGTCTTCCTGGAGCTGATTATCAAAATCGATCCGGGCGCTGGCAACCTGATCACATTCTCACAGTTCGTCTTCATTGCGCTCGAGGGTCTGATCTTCACCTCGAAGTTCTTCACGGTCAAACCAAAAATCGCCTTCAAGGATTACGTAATGCTCGTGGTGCTCTTCTTCGGGGCGAACGTGTGCAACAACTATGCGTTCAACTTCAATATACCGATGCCGCTGCACATGATCTTCCGCAGCGGGTCGCTGATGGCCAACATGATCATGGGCATCATATTGCTGAAGAAGCGCTACAACCTGAGGCAGTACAGCTCCGTGGCGATGATCACGGCGGGCATTATTCTGTGCACGCTTGTGTCGAGCGGCGATGTCAAGGACAACACGCATCCCACTCTGAAGGTGGACACCTCCTTCTCGGACTTCTTCTGGTGGAGCGTGGGCATTGCTCTGCTGACGATCGCCCTGCTGGTGACGGCCTACATGGGCATCTACCAGGAGGTGATCTACAAGCGCTACGGCAAGCATCCCAACGAGGCGCTCTTCTACACACACATGCTGCCCCTGCCCGGGTTCCTCATCATGGCCAGCAACATCGCCCAGCACTGGAGCATCGCCGTTAGCTCCGAGGCGGTGGCTGTCGCCCTGCCCGTGCCCGGAGTGAGCTGGACGCTCAGCTTTCCGCTGATGCTCTTCTACCTGCTGTGCAACGTGGTCACCCAGTACATCTGCATCAGCTCCGTCTACGTGCTGACCACGGAGTGCGCCTCCCTCACAGTCACGCTCGTGGTGACGCTGCGCAAGTTCGTCTCGCTCCTCTTCTCCATCATCTACTTCCGCAATCCGTTCACCCTCTCCCACTGGCTGGGCACCATACTCGTCTTTTTTGGCACCGTGCTCTTCGCC